CTTGTTTTTTTTTAAGTGACAGGGCATCACTTAAAAATGTGCAGGCAAACCTCAGACTCACTATGCAGTTGAGGATGACCTTGATCTTACGATTCTCCTGCCTCCACCTCCCCAGGGCTGGAATTGCAGGTTCATGTCAACATAACTGTTAAATATAATGCTGCAGGTGGAACCTTGGGTCTTGTGCATGCCAAGTAGGCGCTCTACCAAGTGAGCGACATTCCTAGCCTTTGTTAGTGATATTAACTGGCATATTTTTATACAACTGGAATCAACAACCGCGCAGTCCTTCCTTTTGGTGGGGTGGTGGGCTATTGGGATCATATTAGATATCCAACTTCCCCTATCTTTTCTCAGCCTCTGTGTCCAGATGTTTGACTGGTTTGACTACCATGGCCACATGTGTATCTCCTTTGAGCTTCTGGGCCTTAGCACCTTCGATTTCCTCAAAGACAACAACTACCTGCCCTACCCCATCCACCAAGTGCGCCACATGGCCTTCCAGCTCTGCCAGGCCGTCAAGTGTGAGTGGGGTGGGCTGAGGCGGACTCTGGGGCAGCGCTTCCTTCTATCAGACTTGGTCTGTATACTTGTGTGCTAGGCAAGCCCCTAACCAGTCAGTGTACCTGCACACCCGCGACTGTCTGACGTCTCTCCTGACGTAACTCCTTGACTGATGCCTTTCCCATCACTGGTTGCTCTCACTCCACACTCACAGTACAGCCCTTAGTGTCTTTTCCTCCCTTCTTTCTTGGAGAAGTGTTGGACAGCAGCACAAAAGCACAGAAGTCCTCTTGCTGGAGTCTTAGGTTTGTGTCATGGCGCTCTTCACTCACACAAAGCACACGGAGAAGACTGACTCATTCATCTGAGGTACCAGCCTCGGAATGCAGAGTAATTGTTCCTTTGCGTCTTCACAGTGACACAGTTTGGGTTTGTTTGTTTGTTTGGTTGTTTTTTTTTTTTTTTTGGTTTGGTTTCGGTTTTTCGAGACAGGATTTCTCTAACTTTGGAGCCTGTCCTAGAACTAGCTGTTGAACCAAGCTGGCCTCAAACTCATAGAGATCCGCCTCTCTCTGCCTCCCAAGTGCTGGGATTAAAGGCGTATGCAGTTTTAATGAATTGAGTTTGCAGAATGTCTGATAACTTACATAGATCAAAGTCAAGACCAAATAAACACTCCCACTTGTAGCACGCGCTGCTTCCCATCAATGAACTATATATTTTACATTACTCAGGATAAAGCTCAGACCAGGCAGATCATTTAGTTGCAGAGCAGAAAGTAATCCCAGTGGAGTCTGGGCCTGCCTCCAGCTTTGTCCTTGGTACTCAGTCAGGGGTCAGCTGCTGCAGTTAGCACTAGCCACCTGGATCAAGCCTGATCTAGCCTTCTCCCCTGCAGTCCTCCATGATAACAAGTTGACACACACGGACCTCAAACCTGAAAATATTCTCTTTGTGAATTCAGACTACGAACTCACCTACAACCTAGAGAAGGTAAGATGGACAAGGGCCACCCTCTGTCCAAAGGGGCAGGCAACTGGGCCAGTTGGCTTTTGGTTAGCTGTGTTCTCCCTTTGACCAATTTCTCCCTGTCTGGCTTCAGCTGGGTAAAACCAGTGTACCCCAATAAATGTAAAGGGAACAGTTTAAGGAGACTTAAATTGAAAGACAATTTGGAACATTTTCTGATAGGATGGAAGAGGCCGTGCTCTCTCTTTCAGATGCGCATTTCTGTGTAGTAGGAGAACAACTTGCCGGACAGCTTGAGTCTCAGTGCTAAAGGGCCTCCTCACTGGTTTTTGGTTTTTGTTTTGTTTTTTGGTAGATTTTATTTATTATGTGTAGTGTTCTGCCTGCAGGTAGACATGCCGACCAGAAGAGGGCACCAGATCTCATTATAAATGGTTGTGAGCTGCCATGTGTTTGCTGGGAATTAACTCAGGACCTCTGGAAGAGCAGCCAGTGCTCTTACTCACTGAGCCAACTCTCTAGCCCACTCCTTACTTTCTGCTACAAATTACAGATTTCCAAAACAGCACACCAGACACTTTAGTCGTTGAGGACTTAGAGACTTCCATATTATTTCATAATTATTTCTTTAGTCTTCTTCCTTTCCTATTCTTAAAGTACTGCTGTAAGAGCTGGTGTGGTGGCACAAGCTGGTAGTCCCAGCACTTGGGAGGCTCTGAGGCATGAGGATTGCTGCAGGTTCAAAGCCTGACATGGCACATAGTGAAATCCTGTTTCAACATACAATAACAAAATACCAGGGGCCAGATTTCCCTGGGTATATGGGAAAGGCTACATTTTTCAGACTCAAAAGCTCCTTAGTCTGTGAATCTCAGTCTGACAGAGATTCATTCCCATCTGCTTTGCTCCTAGAAGCGAGATGAGCGCAGTGTGAAGAGCACAGCTGTGCGGGTGGTAGACTTCGGCAGTGCCACCTTTGACCATGAACACCATAGCACCATTGTCTCCACTCGCCATTACCGGGCCCCAGAGGTCATCCTTGGTAAGGGAGCTCAGGGCTGCCCAATGTGTGAAGTGATGTAAGGGTAGAGTGTCCTAAGCATCTTAATACCTCTTGCTCCTCACCACACAGAGTTGGGCTGGGCACAGCCTTGTGATGTGTGGAGCATAGGCTGTATCATCTTTGAGTACTACGTTGGCTTCACCCTCTTCCAGGTAAGTGGTGGGGATATTACTGGGCCACCTGGCATTCTTCTGCCCATTTTCTTGATCTGCTGAGGACATACTTACGCAGCCCTCCACATTGCCCATCTGGCATCTAGTCCCCAGCATTCCTTCCTAGTGCCATAATTAGATCTATCTTTGTTTCCCAGACCCATGACAACAGAGAGCATCTAGCCATGATGGAAAGGATCTTGGGTCCTATCCCTTCTCGGATGATCCGAAAGACAAGGTGAATCTTGAGCAGGAGGGGCTGCCCTTTTCTCTCCATGGAGTCTGTCTGTTGCACATCATTTTCTTCTCTCGTTGATGCCCCCGAGCCCCCACTTTCTTTCACATGGTTAAACAAGGGAAAGCATTTTATAAAAGGGGAACCTTCTGATGCAACAACTTCCCCTTCCCCTCTAGAAAACAGAAATATTTTTATCGGGGTCGCCTGGATTGGGATGAGAACACATCAGCTGGGCGCTACGTGCGTGAGAACTGCAAACCACTGCGGGTGAGCCCGGAGAGGGGTATATGTTGTCCACACTCCAAAGGTTGCTTCCTTCCTAGGGTAGTCTGCCCCTGGAATGCACTTTATAAGCAGGAGGTTAGGACAGGGAGTATGGAAAACTGAAAGAAAATTTGGTCAACAATGGACAGAGAAGAGAGGAGGTTAGATAGCCTAACTTTGAGACATCCACAAGCCATAGCCATGTCCTGGATTCTTTAGGTCAGACAGAAAAGAATAAGCTAGCTTTGAAGAGCTTATGCTTTAATGTGGAACTCCAGAAGACTCGTGGAGTTGACGAGGATATGCAGTAAAACTTTGAACGACACTGTGCTAGTAGGAATATAGGTTGGTCACAGTGTGATTGTGGTGAGGTAGCATTCAAATCGCATGCAAACCGAGTCTTGGTTCTTTTTCCCAAAAGGAAAGGTAGGGCTGTGAGGGAGGCAGAGAGCTAGGGATGGTGGCACAGGCTTACAATTTCAGCACTTGGGGTGCTGAGGCAGCTGCAGTGCATAGAACAGCTGGGCTCTGTAGAGATCTTATCTCACAAGGAGAATGGAAAGGAAAGAAAGATAATAAAAGTTTGTCAGGCAGCCCACTTTACCTTCTTCCTGCCCTCCACCAGCGATATCTGACCTCAGAGGCAGAGGAACACCACCAGCTCTTCGATCTGATTGAAAGCATGCTAGAGTATGAACCTGCTAAGCGGCTGACCTTAGGTGAAGCCCTCCAGCACCCTTTCTTCGCCTGCCTTCGGACTGAGCCACCCAACACCAAGTTGTGGGACTCCAGTCGGGATATCAGTCGGTGACAATGAGGCTTTGGACCCTCCTGCTTCTTGTGTAGCAGTGGGTGTCCAGTCCAGGACACTGGTGCTTTTTTATACGAGAGAACAGAGCCAGAACTCAGCCCTCTCCTGCCCTTGGCTCCTTTATACCTGTAAATATGTAAAATAGTGTATATATGACAGAACTTGTACCTGTCACCTCAACTCCTGCCTTGTATATACTGCTCTTTACACTCTTCCAACCACATCTGCCTCTCATGTGGAGTTGATGTAGGGCAGAGTGAGGTAACCAGGTGGTGTCTACCCCATGTTTTATAAGGGATTTTGTACAGTCTTTGTGAAATAAATGCTTCATCTGACCCCCATCCCTGGAATTTGAGGATCAAGGGTATTGGGGTAAAGGGGTAAAACAATTGGTAGCTATTCTGAATTTGGGTACAAAGGCAGATCTTTGCCTTCCCAAGTTAGAGCCAAGACTATGAATTTAAATGCACTTTCTTTTCGAAGGTAGTAAAGATTAAAACAGATGCAATCAGGTAGAAGTTGTGTGATCTGGAGTAGTTACTGTTGGGAAATAGCTTTGACCCTGTAAATAAGTGGGCATGTGACGGTAGCCATGAGGCTGTCCCCCTAGTAGAGCCTTCCGCGGGCGGTGGTAGCCCACGCCTTTAATCCCAACACAGAGAAAGGCAGATCTCTGAGGCCAGCCTGGTATACAAGAGCTAGTTCCAGGACAGGCTCCAAAGCTACCGAGAAACCTTGTTTCGAAAAATAAAAAAAGAAAACAGTCTCCAGCCACTGTCCAGTGCAAAAACTTCCCATCTGTGTTCCGTTCCTTTACGTGAGGTCACTTGGGATGAGTTCTTTCCTGCTAGCAGTCACGTGGAGGAAGTGCGGCGCTAGACTGCGGAGACTGGTCCAGGGTTATCACGTGAGGTGCGTCCCGCTTAAGTTTTTTTACTGAGGCGCAAGCGCAGTTTGTTGCTGCTGCGGGAATCTTAGCGACTCTTCCGGTTGCCTTAACCAATTGGAACACAGATAAGCGGGTAGACCGAGCGCACGGAGGGAGTTCTCAGGGCCGCCGGCGCGGTACTCCCGCGGCAGGGGCGTGGAGGGCAGGGGCGGCCGGCCTCACTTACAAACATGGCTCAGAACAGAGACGGCGGGAACCCGTTCCCTGACTCCGGCGAGCTTGACAATCCCTTTCAGGTGACTTGCGCCGGCCTCCTTTGAGCAGTCTTTCCCCTAATCTGTGGGGTCGGACGGCTATTCCCATTCGTGACATTTGACCCAGGGAAGGAGTGTCTCTACGTGGAGGTTACGGTAGCTCCAGGCCAGTGAGCACTGGGGGGCTAATGGGAAGCGGGCTCTGCCCTTGTAATGAGTGGGTTCTAGCAATATAGGGTGATGGAGTTGAAGGCAAATGTTGGGAACAACGGCGTGTCACCGAGTCTCAGTACTTAGAGCTACCAGCAGTTTGGGGAAGTTCCTAGGAATTCCCTTGGCATCGAATGCCCCCTGAACCCACGTCTCTGCTCTCAGGACCCAGCTGTGATCCAGCACCGACCCAGCCAGCAGTATGCCACGCTTGATGTGTACAACCCTTTTGAGAACCGAGAGGTGAGCAATTAGAAGGAACACAGAAGAGCAGGGGAAGGGAAGTTTGTGAGAAGCTCCGTCTGTGCGTACTGGGGCTTTAAGTGCTGTGTATTTTAGCTCTCTGAGAGACAACATACAATCAGGGCAAGCCTACCCAGGGCAACGGAGTCGTCTAGTTTGGAGTTAGGAAAGTCAGTCCAGGGAGGACCTTCGGTCTGTGGAAAGGCTTACTTGAAGAGAATCGAGGTTGGGGCTTTTCAGGGTTGAGAAACCTGCTTAGGTCTGCAATCAGAGTGCAGACGATGAGGAGGACTAGTAGACATTTGAGAGTAGAGGAGTTAAGGGGAGCACGGGGCTATAGCTCAGTTGGAGAGGGCTTAATCCCCAGCCCACAGCACTACATAAACAGGATGGAGACACTTGAGAGGTACAGGCAGGAGTAGTCAAAGTCCAAGTCATCCTTGGCTAGTAGCAAGTTGGAGAACAGAGTGGGATGTATGAGACTCAGGGAGTGGGGAAAAGCCGGGTAGCCCAGGTGCTAAAGGCTCAGCCTGAGTTCAGTCCCAGGACCAGTATGATGGAGAACAGAGCAAGCTCCCACAAGTTCTCCTCTGACCTCCACAGCCACACCATGATTTGAGAGCGCACACACATGAGTAAATAAATGTAATTTTAAAAAGTTAAGGAGGGACTGGAGAGATGGCTCAGCAAATGAGAGTATTGGCTGCTCTTCCAGAGAATCCCAGGTTCACTTCCCAGCACCCTCATGGCAGCTCGCAACTGTCTGTAACTTCAGTTCCAGGGGATCCGACACCCTCACACATACATGCAGGCAAAACAGAAATACACATGAAATAAATAAATAAATCTTTAAAGAAAAAGTTAAGGAGACAATATGTGGATAAATGCTTCATGTATTACTGAAGCGTTGGATAAGAGGCGTGGCCAGGACTGCTACAGTCCTGAAAGAGGTGTCCAACTTAAACTCACACAAAGTAGCTTCCTATTGGGCACATGACACAGGACTACCCAGTGCTTAAACTAAGGCAGGAGGATTGCAAGTTCTAGACTAGCCCAAGTGCCTGTTGTCTCGAAAAAAAAAGCAAACAGCAAGGAGGTTCCAGACTGTCGGAGAGGAGCTGCTGATGTGGCAGATAAGGCACGCAGACGAGATCTCGGTGTTACCAGCTGACCTCTTGAGGCTTGTTTCCTACAGCCCCCGCCAGCCTATGAGCCTCCTGCCCCAGCCCCAGCCCCTTTGCCGCCACCCTCAGCTCCCACTGTACAGTCCTCAAGGAAGCTCAGCCCAACAGAGCCCAAGAACTATGGCTCCTACAGCACTCAGGTAAGCAGGGGGGTGCAGCTGGTAAGGAAAGCAGCCGGCGCTGGTCTGCAGCTCACAACTGCCTCTGCTCCTGTTGTATAGGCTTCTGCTGCAGCTGCCACTGCGGAGCTGATCAAGAAGCAGGAGGAGCTCAACCGGAAGGCAGAGGAGTTGGACCGCCGGGAGCGAGAGCTGCAGCATGTTGGCCTGGGTGGCACAGGTAGTAAGTAGGTCTTGGTAGGTGAGAAAGAACGCTTGATAGTTTGGAAGGAGCTGCGAAAACATCTTAGATCATATGTTCATCAGTCAGGTATTAAAACTGAGTTTAGTTAGAGTTGGCACTGCTTCTTAACCATGGGATCTTATGCAGTTAAATAATGGGTTTGTTTTTTAAAGATTTATAATATTTTTATTTTGTGCATTTGACTGTTTTACCTGCATGTATGCAAATGCATCCATATCTGTGCTATGTCCATGGAGGCCAGAAGAGAACAGCAGAACCCCCTAGAGCTGGAGTTACAGACTGTTGTAAACCCTCATGTGGGTGCTGGGAACCAAACACTGCACCTTTGCCAGAGTCATCACTCCAGCCCTGGGCTGGTGGTCTCAGAAATCCCACCACTGAGCCAGGCAGTGGTGGCGCACGCCTTTAATCCCAGCACTCAAAACACCACCACCGGGGGCTGGAGAGATAGCTTAGAGGTTAAGAGCATTGCCTGCTCTTCCAACGGTCCTGAGTTCAATTCCCAGCAACCACATGGTGGCTCACAACCATCTGTAATGGGGCCTGGTGCCCTCTTCTGGCCTGCAGACCTACACACAGACAGAATATTGTATATATAATATATAAATAAAATATTTTATAAAAAAAAAACCAACAGCAAAAAAATCACACCACTGAAGTTTCTTGCTTTTTTTTTTTCAAGAAGGGTTTTTTCTCTAGATTTGGAGCCTTCCCTGGAACTCATTCTGTAGACCAGGCTGGCCTCGAACTCACAGAGATCCGCCTGCCTCTGCCTCCTGAGTGCTGGGACTAAAGGCGTGCGCTACCACCCCAGCCAGTTTCCTGTTTTCTAAAATGTTCTTATTTTACAAAGTAGGAAATCGTAAGGGTTGAATAAATTCACCTATGCAGAGTTTTTGACACGATCCGCAAATATTACAGATAGTAACTTTGCTTACTCCTCTTTTTCTGTTCTTTGTTTTGTCTTGGAAGGGTCTGTGTAGACCAGGCTGAGCTGGAACTTCCTGTCCTCCTGCCCAGCCTCCTCAGTGTGGGATAATACGTGCACTCTGCCATGCCTCCTGCTTTCCACTTTTTGTTTCTTTGGATCCATACCTGAGAAGACAGGAGTGGAGGGAAGAGGGGAGAGTGTCCCTTGCTGATTTACACTCATTTGTGAGGCCTTCCTCCTGCTTTTTGCCTTACAGCTCGACAGAACAACTGGCCTCCCCTACCATCTGTTTGCCCAGTCCAGCCTTGCTTTTTCCAGGACATCTCCATGGAGATCCCACAAGAATTCCAGAAGACTGTGTCCACCATGTACTACCTCTGGTTGTGTGAGTGTGAGAAGTCTTTTTGGGAGACATTGCAGATAATGTGAATGCCCCAGAGTACACTCTGAAAGCGAGGCCCTTTAGGGTTACTCTCTCTCATGGTGTGTGTGTTCTTAGCCCACCCTTCCTCTGTCACCACAGATAAATGCATTCTGAATTACTGCAAATTTTTTTCAAGGAGATCATGCCTGATCTGTGGGGTTCATTCTCTAGGGCATGGGGTGCCATCCTTTCATGCTGTTGCCACACTGGGAAGGCATTTGTGGCAGGCTTCACTGCATTCCAGACAGCCCCTCATCCTGTCCCTCTGCCCCTCAGGCAGCACTTTGGCTCTTGTCCTGAATTTCCTGGCCTGCCTGGCCAGGTTCTGTGTGGACACCAGCAGTGGGTCCGGCTTTGGGCTGTCCATGCTCTGGCTCCTCCTCTTCACCCCCTGCTCCTTCGTCTGCTGGTACCGCCCGATGTATAAGGCTTTCAGGTACGTGAGGGCCAGGCGGGGATCTGCAGGGGGTCCCATAGCTGCTCCTCCAACCCCAGTCTTAATTCCCCCACACTTTTTTTCTCTTTGCAGGAGTGATAGTTCATTCAATTTCTTCGTTTTTTTCTTCATTTTCTTCGTCCAGGATGTGTTCTTTGTCCTCCAGGCCATTGGCATCCCAGGGTGGGGCTTCAGGTGTGTGAGTTGCCACCTCTCCTCCCTCGCCTCTTCCTCCCACCCTAGGCAATTCAGTTACGAGGTAGAGTTGTCCAGTAGGGGACATGTGGGCTTTCCCCAAAGAGGCTGATTTAACAAGTCAAGATACTTGGCTAGAGAGCCCAGGGAGCTCTAGACAGGAGCAGCTGAAGAAGTCTTCCTGGGGACGTCCATGTCACCACAGTTGAGAGAAGGGAGCACCCTGAAGTGAGAAGATCCTATTCTGAGTGAGGACGCCAGGAGAGCTAGGAGCTAACGCTTCAGAGATAAGTGTTACAAGAGTAGATGCAGTGGGACTGGTTCGTGGAAGGCCGCCATATTGGTGACCACTGATGGGCGTGTTACGTATTCACAGCATACCCAGTGAAGACTGGGAAAACAGCCCTCCTTACCAACACCTCTTCCCCACAGTGGCTGGGTGTTCGCGATTGTGGCGGTGGGCACCAACCCAGCCGTGGCTGTGCTCATGCTGCTTGTTGCCCTGCTCTTCACTGGCATCGCCGTGCTGGGGATTGTGATGTTGAAGCGGGTGAGGGACACGGCGGGAGTGGGGGCGAGGGGGTGAGAGCACAGATCCCCAGGGGGCGAGGGGGTGAGAGCACAGGTCCCTAGGGGGTGAGGGACACGGCGGGAGTGGGGGCGAGGGGGTGAGAGCACAGGTCCCTAGGGGGTGAGGGACACGGCGGGAGTGGGGGCGAGGGGGTGAGAGCACAGGTCCCTAGGGGGTGAGGGACACGGCGGGAGTGGGGGGCGAGGGGGTGAGAGCACAGGTCCCTAGGGGGTGAGGGACACGGCGGGAGTGGGGGCGAGGGGGTGAGAGCACAGGTCCCCAGGGGTGCCGAGTGGAACATTAAGAAGGAACCAGGGCAGAGCAAGAGGAGGGGCGGGTTCTCAACTAATGGACTTTGGGGCGGGGAGGGAGGAATTTATGTGTTTTGAGGGAGTGTCATCCCGGAAGGAAAGGCGAGAGCAGTAGACCCGTGAGTGGTGGTGTCAGCTTGGGGTGGGGTGGGAGAGACTTGCCTATGTTGTGATGTGTCTGCCATCTTCTTGCAGATCCACTCCTTGTACCGCCGAACAGGTGCCAGCTTTCAGAAAGCCCAGCAGGAGTTTGCTGCTGGTGTCTTCTCCAACCCTGCGGTTCGGACTGCTGCTGCCAATGCAGCCGCCGGGGCTGCTGAAAATGCCTTCAGGGCCCCATGATGTCCCCTGGGATGCCCTGGCCCTCTCCCTGGAGTCTCAGGGGTTTGGGGAGGCATTGCTACTTAATAACTTCTATGGGGCTCTTAATTCCACAGCCACGAATCTAAACCTGACTTGGAGGTTTGGGGAGCCCACTGTGACTCAGTCATCACTTGCCTTTATCCCCCATCTGGCGACACTGCTGCCACCTCTCACATACCCCAAACCCAGATTCCCTCTGCTGTGCCAAGGATGTCTCTTCCGTTATTTAAATTAAAAAGAAAAAAAAAAGTATGACTAAAACTCACCATTTCCTGGATCTTTACTGGAGATCAGGCCATTTGACAGAGTGTTATGGGGGAAGGGTGTACTGGAGTGAAGCAGAGTGTCTGCAGGAGAGTGTCCTTGACAAACTGGGTGGGGTGGTAGAAGGCCCAAGATGTGGGGATCCCCAGCCCAGTCTATTTGCCACCACTTTCCTTAAATGATGGGCAGTCAGCCACCCCTGCTGAGAACTCTGCATCCCAGGAACCTGAAGTATTGGGTAGGGCGGAAAATGGGCACAGAAATGGTCCATAACGAGCTAGGCTTCAGGGCGTGGCTGAGGTTGGAGGAGGGCCTCTCCCTATCTCCTCCCCTCCCCGTGGTTGCTTTAGGACTACAGCTCCCGGAATGCATTGCACCAGCCACCACACCCCTCCGAACCACCATCACCCCCCTCCCCCGCCTCTAGAGCCTGCCCTGCTGCAGCTGGAGGAGCTAAGGGAGCAGAGCGTGGTGGGGAGGGGAGCGGGGCCTGCGACCCTGAAGCCAGTTTCCGCGGCCTCTCCCCACCAGGCGGCCCTGGATCACCAAAGGCACCTCTAGTCCCTGCATGCAGACCTTTCTCCTTTTCTGTAGACTTCCTTGCATCCCTCTCGCCTTTGCCCTCCCCACCCTTCCCTGAGCTCCGGAACGCTACTCTATCTTCAGTCTAGGATCAGCCCTTCTCGGCACCTCTCTTCATTAAGGAAATGCAATGAGCCGGTGCTCTGGCGTCCTCATCGCTGCCCCGGGCACGGTACCCGTCTGGTGGTGGGGTGGGAGCCCCTCACTGTCCCTTCGTGACGCCCCTCCTTTGGGCCTTCCTCCAGCTGGTGTCCCTGGGGGATGCCCCAGAGGACCTAGCCAGGAGGTGGGCTTTACAGCAAGGGCGCTGGAAAGGATAAAGAACGGGGCCTTGGGCGCCTCTGAGATGCTCCCAAGTATCAAGGGGAACCGAGCGAGGTATGGGCAACCGGGCGGCAGGCATGATGCCCTCGCCCAGTGACTCCAGCCGCTCGCTGACCAGCCGGCCCAGTACCCGGGGCCTTACTCACCTCCGCCTCCACCGACCCTGGCTGCAGGCCCTGCTCACGTTGGGGCTAGCCCAGGTGCTCCTGGGCATCCTGGTGGTAACCTTCAGCATGGTGGCCTCCTCTGTCACCACCACCGAGAGCATCAAAAGGTCCTGCCCGTCTTGGGCTGGGTTCTCGGTGAGTTGGGTAAAGAGTGCACAGTAATGGGGTGGGAGAAGCTTCTCAGGCCCCACCCCTCCTCACCTTCAAGCCCACAAGCTTGTCTTTCCTTCCTCTCTGGTCCTTTCCCCTCCTTGTAGGGCTGGGCGCATCCTGTGGCCAGGGGCTCACTCAGGTGCTTCCCCTGCCAGGCTGAGCCTGTGCCCACTCTGTCCCTAGCTGGCGTTCTCCGGGTTGGTTGGCATTGTGTCCTGGAAGCGTCCATTCACTCTAGTGGTAGGTGCCAAGGCCCAATGCCCACTGGGAGGCAGGTGCCCAACACCAGAGGGGATACCCTTTATGTCCCCTTTATGCCCTCAGGAAGGGGAACTGGCTTTCCAGTTGATGCCAGGCAGTCAGAAAGTACATTAGGAAAAGAGGGTGGCTTATTCTGTAGAGGAGTTCTGGGGAAGGTCCCGGCTCTGAGGTGACATCCTCTCTCCCCAGATCTCTTTCTTCTCCTTGCTTTCGGTGCTCTGTGTCATGCTTAGCATGGCTGGCTCCGTTCTCTCCTGTAAGAATGCCCAGCTGGCTCAGGACTTCCGAGAATGCTCCACGGTGAGATTTGAGGTGGGAGAGCTGGAACCATCTGGTTAGGGGAAGCGAGAGGGACCCTTGAGTTTGCTCTGATCCGGGCTGCCTTGCCCTTCCCACTCCCATACAGGAAGGGAAGGTCTGTGTGTGCTGTCCTCCTATTCCTCTACACAGACCCTGTCCAGAGTGGGGACAGGAGCTGAAAGTTGCCCTTAACTCCACCTGCGATGAAGCCCGCGGGGCCCTCAAGGTGAACATGCCGTTCCTAATCCCTTCCTCCTTGCATACGTGGGGTTTATCCCTCCCTAGCCCCGTACTTCTCTCCTCTCCTTGTCTTTCCTTCTCCAGAACCTCCTCTTCAGTGTCTGTGGGCTCACCATTTGTGCCGCAATAATCTGTACCCTCTCTGCTATTGTCTGCTGTGTCCAGATCTTCTCCCTGGACCTGGTGCACATGGTGAGAAGGGAGTGATGCCCAAGCAGACGGGTCCAGTGGGAGCATGGAGTGCGTGCGTGGTGGAACTGGACTTGCAAAGTGGTAGCTACAGGTCTGGGTTCTGAGCCTTGGGCTCTGGGTCACCTGAGGAGTTTTATTACAGAGATGTTTAGGACCAAAGGGAATGAAGAAGACTGGTTGGATGGGTTGAAGTCAAGACAGCCCTAGGTGGGAGCTGGGATAGAGGATGGACAGTGGTGGCAGGGAAAAGGTGGTGTGGACAGATGTGAAACTGAAAGAGATTTGTGGGTAGGCAAGGCCAGAGCTGGAGGGACTGAGTAGGCACAGATTGAAGAAGGAACTGGGTGTGGTTCAGAAGGATTGGAACTGCATCTTGGAGAAGGTAGGGCCATAAAAATAGCAGAAAGGGAAGAAATTTGAAACCAGACTTGCTCCCCAGCAGCTGGCCCCTGAACGCTCAGTCTCAGGCCCCCTAGGGCCCTTGGCTTGTACATCTTCGCCTCCAGCTCCTCTCCTCCACACCATGCTGGACTTGGAGGAGTTTGTCCCTCCCGTGCCCCCACCACCCTACTATCCTCCAGAGTATACCTGCAGCTCAGAAACGGATGCACAAAGGTGAGGCCGGGTGAGGTCCTGCTGGGGAACCTGAGGAAGAGGATTGGGGCTGGGCCCGGAGTGGTGGGGAGGCATAGTTGTGGAGCAGGAGCTGTTTCCCAGGCCCTGATCCTCTCCTCATCCTGCCAGCATCACCTACAATGGCTCCATGGATAGCCCAGTGCCCTTGTACCCTACTGATTGCCCTCCTTCTTACGAGGCCGTTATGGGGCTACGAAGAGACAGCCAGGTGAGGAGGGCTCGGTGCAGCCGGGAGCTGTGGATAGCTGTTTGATAAGGATATCAATAGTCCTCGTGATCTCAGTAGCAACCCCTCTGTCGGCTGTCATCTGCCCTAGAGCTGCTGAGGTGGGTGGGAGATGAACTAGTATTTCTCTAGTATAAAGATGTGCCGCTGCGTGTGATGGTTCACTCCTGTAATCCCAGCGCTGGGGAGCCAGAGGCAGGCAGATCTCTGAGTTCAAGACCAGCCTGGTCTACAAGAGCTAGTTCCAGGACAGGCTCCAAAGCTACAGAGGGTTTCTGGGTCGAAAAATCAACAAACAAACAAACAAACAAACAAAAAAGCAAAAAAAAAAAAAACAGCAATGCCCAACCATGGCTTCAGTGACTTTGTCTCAAAAGATAAAGATATGGAAACTAATGCCCTCATAAGTGACTTCTACAAAGCCAACTGTAGTGGCATATGCCTATAAACACAGCACTTGGGAAGTGGAGGCAGCAGGATTAGGAGTTTAAAGGCTAGCCTAGGTTCCTCAGTAAACCCTGTCTCAAACCCAGCTAACGTTAGAGAGTGACAAAGCTGGTCAAGAACCTCTGGTCTTCAGTCTTTTCAGTGCGTGGGAGTGGTCATGCCAGTGTGAAGGGCTGGACTTTTGACCCTGTGTCTTCTGCAGGCCACTCTGTTTGATCCTCAGCTTCATGATGGCTCCTGTGTCTGTGAGCGGGTGGCCTCCATTGTAGATGGTGAGCAGAGTGGGGTCGGAACTGACAGGGCAGGGTGGGGCCATAGGGAGGGAAAAACAAGACTGAGCTCAGCTAGTGTTTGGAGGTGAGGACTGTGACTTCGTAGAACCCTGGGATTATCTGTCTGCTTGAAGATAAAGCTGGAGTCAGAGTGGCAGCTATCCTGCTATCCTACCTAGTGCTCCCTTGCCACTCACAGTGTCCATGGACAGCGGGTCCCTGGTGTTGTCAGCCATTGGCGACCTCCCTGGAGGCTCTAGCCCATCAGAAGACTCATGCCTGCTGGAACTCCAGGGCTCTGTGCGCTCCGTCGATTATGTGCTCTTCCGCTCCATCCAGCGCAGCAGAGCAGGCTACTGCCTTAGCCTGGACTGCGGCCTGCGGGGCCCCTTTGAAGACAGCCCCTTGCCACGGCGGCCCCCACGGGCTGCCCGCTCCTATTCCTGCTCTGCCCCTGAAGCCCCACCCCCACTGGGTGCCCCCACAGCTGCTCGCAGTTGCCACCGATTGGAGGGCTGGCCGCCCTGGGTGGGACCTTGCTTCCCCGAGCTGAGACGGCGGGTTCCCAGAGGAGGCAGCCGCTCTGCTGCACCCCCTCCTGCCCGAGCTCCAGCTCGACGCTTTAGCGATAGCTCAGGTTCCCTCACCCCGCCCGGGCACCGGCCTCCTCACCGGACACCTCCTCCACCACTGCTGCTGCCAAGGTCTCACAGCGACCCAGGATTCACCACCTCCAGCGACACTGGTGAGCCATACCGTCACCTGGTTCAGAGAAGGGTAAACATTAGAACTGGGACCCTGTGAGGTTCCTGAGTACTCACCCCTGAGGGACAGAGGCTTCAGCAGTACTTGGTTCTTGAAACCATTTCCACAGCGCCTAAGGCTGGGCTACACAACCGGTTACTTGGTTATAGAGACAGATCAACCAGAAGTCTCTGTTTCTTACTGAGAAAAGATATAAAGCGAAATAGTTCCCAGCCACACAGGCGGTGTCCGAAATCCCATCTGGGGGTCCTAAACAGAGCTAGGGAGGCTACAGCGGTGAAGGATAGCACTGGAGATCCCATCTTCCTACATTAGACCATCCAGCTGTGGGCAGAGGTGGAGTGTAAGAACCATTGAGCCCGGGCTCTCGGGACGGCGGGAGAGGTGTGGTCATAGAGCTCTTACACTA